CAAAAGCACGGGTCTGACAACCACCAATCAAGTGTTAACACTGCAAGGACCTTTGTCTGAATGTGTATAAAGGATCTGTAAAATGTGTGTAAGACAGAGTTTTTGTACTAAGGTGCAAAGCTCTCCTTTCTTCTGCAGAATAAAGCAACTCTTCCTTATCCCTGTCTGGCTGTTATTGGCTCTCAGCTAGGTGGACCCGATATTTCGGTAACAGGCCCTTCGAAGGGGAGGTCCTGGATCGTTTGTTGGACCTCATGAGGGAGGCCGGAAACTTGAAGCCAGGCTCCGCGCCTCATGACCAGACCAGTCGCCAACGTGCGTGAGGCTGAATTGGCCATGTCCAAGGCCGCCTGGAGGGAAGCCCGGGTAATCAATCTCCCCTCTTCAACCAGGGCTGAAAACTCGGTCCGCGACTCCTGTGGAAGGAGGTCCACGAACCTAGACAAAGCCGAGCACGTGTTGTGTCCATACCGGCTCACTATGGCCTGCTGACTGGCCATGCACAACTGCAGGCCCACCGTCGAATATACCTTGTGCCCGAACAGGTCCAACTTTTTGGCCTCTCTATTTTTGGGGGTAGCTCCCTGGAACCCCTGGCGCTCCCTCTGGTTGGCCGCATCTACCACTAGAGAGTCCAGGGGAGGGTGTGTATAAAGATGTTCATAGCCCTTGGTTGGAACAAAATATCACCTCTCAGTCCTTTTGGCCGTAGGGGCCAATGAGACTGGAGTTTGCCACAAGGTGCACGTTGTGTCCGTAACGGTCTTTATGAGAGGTAGGGCTACCCTGGATGGGCCCGACGGGGTCAGGATATCAATCACTGGATCTATATCCACCTCGATCTCCTCAGGCTGGATCGAGAGGCTTTGGGCCGCTCGAGTAAGGAGCTGTTGGAGGATCCTATTGTCCTCTAGGGCCGGTGCCGCTGAAGTTCCCGCTACTGCCTCATCCGGAGATGAGGAGGAAGAGATCCCCTGAAGAGGGCCTTCATCTACCCCCCTCTCCCTCTACGAGGGCCTGCGGCACACGGTACTCAGGCTGCGCGGCCGGTGTGGGCTTAGGATGCGGCACCACAGCCGGTACCGGGGTCGACACCGAGCAATGAGGCGTGCTGGACGGTGCCTGCGGCGTTGGGAGCAACGTCCCCGTCGGTGCCGTTGTCTGGCAAGGCGGTGCCGTGTCCCTTTGTGGCACACTCCTGTCAGACGGCGGTGCCGGTGGTGGTGGCATTAGCGGCGGGACCGCCGATGTCGAAGAGACAGATGCGGCTCGTGAGCGGGGTCCGTACGCCTGACCCACTGACTGGTGGTAGGCCCACGGCGTCCAGAATGGCCACTGGGGGGGGCGGTTGCCACTGCTGCTGCCACTGCGGTGGGTACGGTTAGGTACTCATACGCGAGGACCATCGCCTACTCCTCGATCTGTTAGAGAGGTACGAGTCCACCTCCGAGTCCAAAGTCTCTGACTAGGCGGACATAGGAGGTGCGGTACCCACTGTCGCCATAGAGAGTGCTGTCTGCACCGGTGCCACTAGAATGGCGCGGCGAGCGCAGCGAGAGCATTGCCAGTTTGCCCCTAGATTGATAATGGGGCCGAGCGGTAACCGGAGGTTCTCTGCACCGGTGCGGCGACGCCGGCACCGGGAAGCTCAAGAGGTCTGAGGCGGCTTCGAACGCCTCCGGCGTCGATGGGAGATGCACTTCCTCCATCATATCCGGGGATCTAGGCTTTTCTGGACTCGACCGTACCCTCTCCGGGGCGGGAGTCAACGGGATGGCCGAATGGGTCTGCGGCGTGAATTGTCCTGTAGCACTCGTGGACAGCGCTGGCCCTTTAGAGTCCCGGTGGGGAGAGTGTTCCCTCACCGGCCTGTTCCTTTTAACCGGCACTGGCAGTGGGGAACGGTGTCTCATCGAGGCTGGTTTCTTGTGCGCCGACTCTCTCCGGTGCCGGGGTTTGGGGGCCTTGGCCTCACGACTTATCTCCAATGCCGGGGCACTGCGCATCGAGGATGAAGTGCTGGGTGCCGGCTCGGTAGGCCCGGGATCTGATTGCGGCCGCAGGGGTCCATTAGGAGGACTTTAAGTCTCTGCTCTCTATCTTTGAGAGTCCTGGGGCGAAAAGCCCTGCAGATACTGCACCTATCTCTTTGGTGGCTCTCCCCTAGGCACCTTAAGCATGAAGAGTGCGGGTCACTCTTCGGCATGAATTTCCCGCAGTCCCGGCAGAGTTTGAACCCTGGGGACCCGGGCATGCCCCAGCGGGGCGACGAAAACTTGGGGAAACCCCCCCCAACTAATATCTAACTAAGTTAACACTAAACAACAAACTAACTAACTATTTACAACGACGGAACACTGCCACGATTGCTGAAGAGCAAGCGAAGTTCCAGCTAGCCGTCACCGGCGGTCAGAAGGAACTGAGGGGGTGGAGGGGTCGGCTGGCCCCTATATACAGCGCCATGAAGGCACCACTCCAGGGGGCGCCGAAGCCGACCCTACGGACGCTGCTATACTAAAATCTTCTGGCTGGTGTGCACACGGCGTGCACACACCTGCTTGGAATGGACATGAACAATCTAAGGAAGGAGATTCCACCACCTCCCTAGGGAACCCATTCCAGTGCTTCACCACCCTCCTAGTGAAAAAGTTTTTCCTAATATCCAACCTAAACCTCCCTAACTGCAACTTGAGATCATTACTCCTTGTTCTGTCATCAGGTACCACTGAGAACAGTCTAGATCCATCCCCTTTGGAACCCCCTTTCAGGTAGTTGAAAGCAGCTATCAAATCCCCCCTCATTCTTCTCTTCTGCAGACTAAATAATCCCAGTTCCCTCAGCCTCTCCTCATAAGTCATGTGCTCCAGCCCCCTAATCATTTTTGTTGCCCTCCGCTGCACTCTTTCCAATTTTTCCACATCCTTCTTGTAGTGTGGGGCCCAAAACTGGACAAAGTACTCCAGATGAGGCCTCACCGAACAGAGGGGAATGATCACATCCCTCGATTTTTTTTCTCCTTTTGACAGTCACCACGTGTCTCCCGCTTACAGGTGGGAAGAATCACACCCTGAACCAAAAAAATTATAGTCTAGGCCCAGTTAATTCACTTCTTTAACCCAGAGTTAGGGTTGCCGAGGGCTGCCATGCGTCCTTCCAGAACGTGGACGGTGACGAAACTTAGAGCTCTGAAAACCAGGAAATGAAGTATGAAAGTTCATACCACCTCTGCAGCATAACCTTAACTCTGCCCCCCAATCCTGGAGCTGGCATTAGCCACTGACTATCGATTAGTGAGGGTTACTGAACTACTGAGGAAATGGGGGATTCTCTTGGGAGTCTTCAAGTCAAGAATGGATGCTTTTCTGGATGAGTATTTAGTCTAACACAAGGTATTCAACTCAATACAAAAGCAACAGGAGAAAACCCTATGGTCTGTGTTATACAGAAGGTCATAGGCGATGACCTAATAGTCCCTTGGGCCATAAAATCTATGAATTTATAATAGAGATGAGGAAGGACTAAGAGAACGTGCCACTGTCTGTGTTGTGTTCACAGATGGGAATCCCAGCAGGGATTAGTAGCAGCATCTTGGCAGAGCTGTGACTGTGATATAAAGGGAGGTGCATGTGATCCTTGAAGGAGCAAGCCTGCCTCATTTCATTCCTGTGTTGTAGGTTGCAACAATCAAGGTGCACAAGGGTGTGTTCTTTCCATGAACGTTGTCGGCACTTTGGGGGAACACATGCTAGCCCTCTGCAGGGTTTAGAGAAAGGTAATAGATGGCAATGACTCAGAAGGAATCATCAGTGGTAGCAGATGACAGGACAAGGAGCAATGGTCTCAAGTTGCAGCGGGGGAGGTCTAGGTTGGATATTAGGAAACACAATGTCACTAGGAGGGTGGTGAAGCACTGGAATGGGTTCCCTAGGGAGGTGATGGAATCTCCTTCCTTAGAGGTTTTTAAGTTCAGGCTTGACAAAGCCCTGGCTGGGATGATTTAGTTGGGGATTGGTCCTGCTTTGAGCAGGGGGTTGGACTAGATACCTCCCTTCCAACCCTGATATTCTATGATTTGCCAGAGGCTGGGAATGGGCGGCAGGGGATGGATCTCTTGATGATTGATTCCCTGTTCTGTTCATTCCCTCTGGGGCACCTGGCATTGGCCACTGTTGGAACACAGGATACTGGGCTAGATGGACCTTTGGTCTGACCCAGTCCGGCCGTTATTAACCCTCAGGGGCAAAGACATGGTGATATTTTGGAAGTCTGTGATGGTTCGTGTGGCGTAGGCTCCATCTGAGGGCCGGCCAGGAGTCGGAAGCTTCTGTTTGCTATGCCGGACCTAAACCCAAGTTTTGCCTGAGCAAAGAGAAGATGTTAGACTTTGTGCTGTACTGCTCTGTTCCCAGAGCGCTCGGTAATGAGCAGGGTAGAGTGCTGGTGTGTGTGTCACTGGCTTGTTGCGGTGTTGTTGAATCAGGGCAGAATGAACATGGCATTGCGGGGGTGACATGAACCTTAACGCTGCATTTCCCCTTCTAGTAACCGAGAGGATGGGAATCCTTACCCAGCGAGGTCACATTCTCATAGTTCTCCTGCATGACGTCTCTGTAGAGGGCTTTTTGACGGGGGTCCAGCAGAGCCCACTCTTCCCTGGTGAAATACACAGCCACCGCCTCGAAGGTCACCGGCCTCTGGAAAAGCAAGAGCAAGTGGAAGAGGGATAGCTCAGTGGTTTGAGCACTGGCCTGCTAAACCCAGGGTTGTGAGTTCAATCCTTGAGGGGGTCATTTAGGGAACTGGGGCAAAAAAATAAAAATAAAATAAAATCTGTGGGGGACAGTACTTGGTCCTGCCTAGTGAAGGCAGAGGACTGGACTTGACTCAATGACCTTTCAAGCCCTCTGAGATAGGTAAATCTCCATATATTAATTATTAAGAGTCCAACACTCAGTACCTACTGCCCCATTATCCATGGGGGAGGAGGACAATCAAAAGGATACAGCGTCAGAGGAGTCCAACCCAACGGCCACATGGCTATTCCTAAAAACTTGGCCCCGGGTTTACCAAGTCCCAGCAGCTCCATCACACCTTGTCCTACGGCCTAGCACCGCTCCTCCCACCCTTAGATCAAACTCCCACTTCCCGTGTATTCTCTGGCTTCTGCGGGAACCCCCCACATCCCTACCTGAGACAGCTCTGCTGCATCCATTTCCCTTCCCCAGGAGGATCTGGAGGGACCCGGGGATGTTATTCTGCAGCCTGTTGGGGAGAGAAGGGTTATGGGGGGGTTTCAGAACAGACTTTAGGTCATTTCACATCACACGTCTCACGGGTGCTTTCTCTGCAGAGACGTTTTCGACTCTCCCGCTAGGAAAATGCTCCGTCATTGCAGTGTAGACCCATCCCCTCCCAGCAGGGCTAAACCCACTGAGACCCTTTAAAGCTGACATGGTTCCCCAGGACAGAACATAAGAACGGCCATACTGGGTCAGACCAAAGGTCCATCCAGCCCAGTATCCGGTCTACCGACAGTGGCCAATGCCAGGTGCCCCAGAGGGAGTGAACCTAACAGGTAATGATCAAGTGATCTCTCTCCTGCCATCCATCTCCACCCTCTGACAAACAGAGGCTAGGGACACCATTCCTTACCCATCCTGGCTAATAGCCATTAACGGACTTAACCGCCTTGAATTTATCCAATTCTTTTTTAAATGCTGTTATAGTCCTAGCGTTCACAACCTCCTCAGGCAAGGAGTTCCACAGGTTGACTGCGCACTGTGTGAAGAACTAACTTTTATTTGTTTTAAACTTGCTGCCCATTAATTACATTTGGTGGCCCCTAGTCCTTATATTATCGGAACAAGTAAATAACTTTTCTTTAGTCACTTTCTCCACACCACTCATGATTTTATAGACCTCTATCATATCCCCCCTTTGTCTCCTCTTTTCCAAGCTGAAAAGTCCTAGCCTCTTTAATCTCTTCTCATATAGCCAAACCCCTAATCATTTTAGTTGCCTTTCTCTGAACCTTTTCTAATGCCAGTATATCTTTTTTGAGATGAGGAGACCACATCTGTACGCAGTATTCAAGATGTGGGCGTACCATGGATTTATATAAGGGCAATAAAATATTCTCCGTCTTATTCTCTATCCCTTTTTTGAATGATTCCTAATATCCTGTTTGCTTTTTTGACCGCCTCTGCACACTGCATGGACGTCTTCAGAGAACTATCCACGATGACTCCAAGATCTCTTTCCTGATTAGTTGTAGCTAAATTAGCCTTCATTATATTGTATGTATATTTGGGGTTATTTTCTCCAATGTGCATTACTTTACATTTATCCACATTCAATTTCATTTGCCATTTTGTTGCCCAATCACTTCATTTCGTGAGACAGCAGAGGGAGAACTACGCAGAGGTAGGGACCAGGCAAAACTTGTCTAGTGCTGAGACAGGAACTGGATCTGAGCAGGTTAGCACGTTCCCCCCCAGCACAGGGGGACAGATTTATTATAATTTTCAGCAAAGAAAAATCTCACTCCCTCCACTTTTAGCCCTCAGGGACACCCCTTCTCCGTCAGCCTCTTGAGACACACACATGCACATTCTATAGGATCAGCCTCGTTACGGGTTTTATTCTTATTTTCTACTAAATGTCAGGGGTTTGCCAAAAAAAAAAAATGGGGGACCCCTTTTTGGAAATCAATATGAAAAGTATGAAAAACTTGCCCACGCACTGCACAGCTCCCTCCGCATTCACCATGAACATTCACAGCTGGTCTGTCTGCGGTATATCAGCCCCACGGCACAGCCCACGGCACAGCCGGGCTCCCCCCTCCTTGCGCCCGAGACTCTGCTGCCCACATCTGACCATCTCCACTCACTCATGAAAGCTTTCAGACTCCTCAGGGGCTGGAGATTTTGTCCTTGTTTCATCCTATTTCACACCATTCAGGTGTTGTTCCTTTCACCAAAGGGAAACACCCCCCTGAGATCCGGGATTCACTCTGAATCCCCATCAGACGTCACAGCACTAGCGAATCAGTCACGGGGATCACCCGGTTTCACATTCTTCCACAGCTTCCAGGTGCACATGGGGGCTGGAGGCCGTGATGCCCTGTCGCTAACATGGTTATTGGTCTGAAATCTCCCCATGGCCCGTCAGAGACAGACACGTACCTGTGTCGCTCCCCAGCTCCAGTCGCAGCGTCTCTAGGGGAAGGAGAAGACAGGAGAGGTGAGAATTCAGGCCCTCGCATTCGTGGAGCAATCCCCATTGGTTATTAATGTAACTGCTGTTAACTACGAGATGGTGACAGAGATGAGAGGCCGATAACGCAGCCGCTGCAGACAGAGCCAGCCCCACAGGGCTGCTCCATGGGGAAGGACGACTCGCTGAGCTGGGCTGTGAGATGGAGCCGAGGATCAGTGACATCACTAGAGTCCCCAACTCCTCCCCAGGGTGAGGGTAGCTCTAACCAGAGGAGACACCACCCCCAGACTCCAATTCACCTTTGAATCCCAGCAGCACCTCCTGGAGCATGGCACTTTTCAGAAAGAAATCGCTGAGTCTCTTCTCCAGCTCCAAAAACCCCAGCTCTGGCTTCTGAAACGTCCCATCCTCCCTGCTGGGGAAAGGAGGGGTGACAAATAGGCCCGATCCCCAGACCCTGAGCCCCAGCAACCCCCAAACTCCAGGAACCCTGGATCTGAGCTTTGTAGCCTGAGATAGTCACTGTTATGGTGAGTCACCTGCCTTCAGCCCTGTGCTCACCATGGGCCAGAGAGATGGGACACGGGGAAACATTGGGGCAAGGAACAGACATAGGTTCAGGAGCTTTCTCCAGGATGCTCTGGTTCTGTGGGGAGCAGAGCCACCTCCCACCCTGGAATATTCCAGCAACAAGGGGCACCAGCACTGGGATTACGTGGAAAGGGAGGAGACGCAGACACAGACCAGGGGGCAGGTCCCACCTGCTCAGACAGAGCCCAGGTCTTCAGCAGGGAATGAACGTGGGCCCTTAAACACCAAAAGCCCTGAGCCCTTCCGCGGAAGCAGTAACCCTGGGGTGTCCAGCTCCTTTGGAGGAGAAGCTGTCTTCCACTTTCTGTTATGGACAGTGGCCCAGGGCATCAATTTTGGACTCTGTCCCCCACCTCCCTTCACAGCAGGACACCCACTGCTCTCGGTGGGACACCCAGGCGCAAAGAACCAGAGGAGACGCTGCCCGTTGAGCAGGAAATAACAGTGTTATTTATAAAGTCCTTTACTGTCACAATCAATATCACTCCACGGGAAAATAGCTCCCCTCGCACACACCCCTGTATGGCCCCTGCTATTTCTCCCCTTTCCTTGTCTTCCTTTCCCACCATCCTCCCTCTATTTATCTCTTGCTTCCTTGTCCTTGTGTCTCTCCTCTGTCCCCCACAAAGCAATCCCCTATTCCTGCCTCTCTATGGCTTCATTCCTGCCCCCTCCTGATTCCACCTCCTCAAGCGATCAGCCAGGGAATGTTGTCACCAAAGCGTAGGCACTTCAATGAGATCAACGGAGGCCAAGGGCATTCACACCCCTCTGAGCTGCGGTTTCAGGCTGTCTGCAGACTCAGGAAGGCAATGCTGGCTCCTTGTGTCCATTTGGGAGGGTTTCTTTGCAACCAGGAGGGTTAGAAACTTACTTTAAAAAAAATAAACTGAAAGCTGAGATTCTGAACACTCTGAACATGTGATGTGACCACATAAATACGTCAGACAGGCCCAGTCTGGCCCATACGTCTGACAGCCCTGGTGGGACCGTATCAGCTGTCCGAGAGTAACAGGGTCCGCCCCTTGCTGAGGCAGCCGCTAGGGGAGACAGATTCACAGGCTCCAAGCCAGCGTCACACTGCGGGGGCTGGGGGAAGCTCCGTATTCAGTGCAGTTACCAGACCTAACACACCAAAGGGGAGTGAGACAGAGCCAAGGACTTACCTGCCCCCACAGCTCCCGGCACCCTAGAGAGGGAGAGAAAGACGAGGCCGTCAGAGGACTTGTCCCAGGCTGCAGGAGCCTCCTGCTCTGCAGGGTATCACCAGGGAACCTCTGGGATTTAGGGGAATTTCAGACACTCGGGTTCTTGTGCAGACAGCAGCGGCATCTCCCCCATCCCCCCCAGCCGGGACAGTGGCTCTCAGCGGCCCCAGCAACCTCTGCTGGGAGGTGGCCACAGGGGGAAAATGTCTCCCCAGGCACTTTACAGGGAGAAAATGTTTCTCTGCCCTGAGAGTCAAATTCCCCCCAGGGCTGAGAGCCCCACAAGCCCCCTGGCTCCAGTAACCCATTAACCTGGTGTGAGCGGGGCCTCAGCATGGGGGAGGGGATTTACAGACATTTCCAGGAGAGGAGAGAAGGTCTCGGGGTTGGCAGCATCCAGGAGCCATCCCTGGTGCTGCCACAGACTCATTATTTGACCTCGGGCTCTGTCCCTCCCTCTGCCTCACTTTCCCCCTTTGTCCCATAGGGATAATGCCCTTGACCCCCTTTGTAAAGTGCTTTAGGGTCTGGGGCTCAGAAGCGCCTACAGAAACGCTGCGTATGATCATTGCAATGACAGCCTGACCTGCAGGGACTGGCTCAGCGGCTGCTGCCCCTTCTCTTCTCCCCTCTCACTGAGCAGGGAAATCTCCCAGGACAGGCTGCAGACGCCCTCATCCCTTCTCTGGGCAATGGCTCTCTCGAGCTCTTCCAGCCGGGCCAGCAGCCGCTGCTCCTGCTCCTCCAGAAACCCTCGCAGCTCCTGCCACTCCCAGACGATCTTCCGCCTCTCGGCTGCCGTCTGTTTCTGCAGCCACAGGGAGAGGGCGGATCGGTACCGGGGGAGAACCATAAATACACCTCCCGGCGGGTGGGGGAGTTATTTACCAGAGCATGGGACCTCTTGCGCTGGGTGATGGGAAGTTTATTTACCCCAGAAAGGGAGGACAGATCAGGGCAGGGGTGAGCTGTACATCGCTCACAGGGGGGGACTGTTCTCCCCAAAACCTCATCAGATTGCCCTGGGCCAAACCCTCCATCTCTGCAGCCCACATTTCATCTCCTTCCCCCCGGGCGCTAGAAAGGATCCCCGGTCGCTGTGACGTGCAGCCAGCCGTGGGCAGGGGCTCTGGGCTCACACAGACTGACCCTCTCCTGCCCAGCAGCCTCCTGCCCCCTAAGGGCATCATGTCACCCCCGTGCCTGACCCTGCCTCTCCCGGGGCTCCCGTGGGGATGGGTCCCCGGCTGAGGCTGGCAGGCCGGGCCCTGCATTCACCGACACTCAGGGCTCTGGGACTCCAGGCGAACCTGAGGGGCAGGGGGTCCTGGGCACCTACCAGCAGCTCCTCGCTTTGCTGCTGCTCCTTGGCTTTGGCGGCTTCTCCGTCGTCCGGCAGAGGGGCTGGGTGCTCTGGTGGGGGCTCCTGGAAGAAGCAGGGGAGGGGGTTACACGCCGCTGCAAACCACCTCCCAGCTGCCAGATTTCAGGGCCTGTCCTGCCCTTCAGAGCCCCTGGGACTCCCTGAGACCTTTTTTCCAGCTCTAATTCAACCTCAGCGAGGATGATGTGGGAGGCGATGGTGAAAGTGGGGGGGACCACGTTTTCCCGAGAAAACACAGAACCCCCTGGTGAAGTGACGGGGGTGCAGCACAACCCCCAACAGAAAAAACGGTGATCTAACATCATTCGCTACCAGTAGCCGTTACTCATCAGTACGATTGTGCTTATTTGCTGACTTGCCCCAACTGGCTACCTCTCCGCTTTCCCGGCTTCTGGTGCACAGGGAGCAAATTGGGGGCACCTCTGTCGCAGACTGACACCTCTGACATTGTGGAACGCTATGGGTTGCATATGGCCCGTGGGCCCTACTTTGGCCATCACCGGCACCAAATTAGAAATCACAGTAAAGAACCACAGCAATTGCAATGCTAGAAACACAGATGTCATTGCCACTACTAGCAACATCCCTACTTATACAGACTTCCGAGGAGTATTTGAGATTAAAATATAAATGAAATAGCACAAAGACATGTATGTGCACAGTGATAACACGGGTACATGATGACGTGCTAAGAGTAATTAAAACAGTATTTAAAAAGTAACCCATGAAAAGGAGCCAATGGATGTTGAAAATGGATTCCAAGGAAGGGAGCGTCACTCAAGGAATCCAAGCAGCCAATATGAGAAATCGGTGAATGGCTACGAGACTCTATGCAGGCAGATTCACTGATAAGGGATTCTCTGTTTCTGAGGGGGGCGTATGGAAAATATTTCACTGAATCAAGTCTCCTACAGCACCTCAGTAGGTGACACAGACAGAGAGGAGCGGCAGTGACTAGGCATTGGGATGCCCTGTGTCTTTAAGAACCCAGTCCTGGGAAGCCCATGCTGAGAGGTGCTGTCTGGGGGAAGGGAAATAAAAAAGCCCCTCTGCCCCCCCTCCACCCTATTTTTACAAACACTGGGGACACTGTTCCCCCCCTCTACTCCTGCCTGGGCCTGGAGTTTACCCTCTGGCAGAGCCTCAGCCTTGAACTTAACTCCAATTCTTCTTCCCCCTCACCCATTTTGTCCCTCAGCCCCTCTCCTAACCCTGCCTCCAGCTGCTTTACCCTGTCAATTTCCACCCCCTGCTCAGACCCTGGACAGCCCCTCCTCCGATTTGCCCCTTTTTAGCCCCTGTAAAAAGCAGTACACAGACTCCGATGGTAAGGAAGGGCAGGGTGGGGGCCGTGGCTTCAGCAGAGGTGACTGAGCATGCTCAGTACAACCGAGGTAGGAAATGTTGCCAGAGAGCAGATTGTTACACCCCCAACCCACTCCAGACATTCCCAAAGCTCCAGCCCCAGCCCCCCAAGCTCCCGCAGGGCCAGAGCTCAACATGGACCCTCCCCCCCCCCCCGCCTAACATCCCCCCCAAAGTCCCCGGCCTCTG